CAGTGACTCAGCATCTATTTTCTTCTATAGAAGAACACGCTTTCATGGCGTCAATTAATCAGGAGGGATGAACTCTTTCATGAGGAATCAGCTTAACTTGATACACATCACGCTTCGGAAAAACAAGGGATGTTATGTATTAAAGAGTTCTGGGAAGTACCTGTAACAAAAACCAATATTGAAATGCTTTTGTTTATATTTCCATGCTAGTATGAACCCTAAAAATAATGATTACATTTAGCAATTCATTTCCATTCATAATGCCAACTGAAAATTTTCGCAAGACATTAAATTTGTCTAATAAGCATAAAAACTTCAAATGTCGCCATATCATTTTTATCCACTAACACTATTTCCTATTGTCATATAATTTTGTCAGTCTGTTTATTATATGGTAACGTGTTTTACTACAACGGCAACGCTCCGAAGGTATTACGTCACCGCTGGCGGGGGAGGGGGTGTCCGGCATAGCGCGAATACGTCACAGTATATTATGTATAGTGTCAGACGTCTAGGTCCAGTAGTTTAGTAGCAACAGATCGAAAGTAGAAAATAGATTTTGCCTGGTCACCATAATTTTGCTTTAAATTCTACACAAATACTAATACAAAGGATGTTGTGTATTTCTAGAAGATCCGTATTTTAGGGCCTTACTATTAAGTACCGAAGAGGCTGGTGTAGTAGCAGTGTTTTAGACATGTATTCGTGGGGTTCTCGCTTCTAATCTCGGCAGAAGCACCGGCTATCCTGAGGTTTATCGTGCTTTAACCAGGTCCATCTACATACATGACGGAAAGAACCTCGATTATGTCACAACCCTTTCCTTCCAGATCCTTCCAAATTTATTAGTCGGCAACCATCCTAGCTCTCCACATTGTACAGCGCGAAATCCTGACAGCAGTGAAAACAAAAATCCTATATTAATGAATGCCATCTTTTTTATTGCTAATGGGGTGGGATCAAGTCCCTTGTACTGCGGCCACTTCTGGCCTATTGTACCAGCCCGAGTGAGGGTGATTGTGGAGAAATTGGTGGAATGAAGATTGGGACGGGAAACCGAAGTACTCTGAGAAAACCTGCCCCAGCGCCACTTCTCCCACCAAAAATCCCACTTGACAAGACCCGGAATCGAACCCGGGCCGCTGCGGTGGGAAGCCAGCGACTAACCGCTTGAGCTATGGCGCGGCCAATGAATGCCATATCCGCCCGAGCTCAATATTCACATTGCCACCATATATTGGCATTTTGACAGAATAGTCCATTACCAGGCAACGGCTCGGAAAACGCTACCTAAAAGCCGGAATAGCAGCAGAAGCGGGAGTTTATTTGCTATGCAGCGGCTCGCTAGCACCTGTTTCCGCGGCAAAGAATATTAACAAAGGCTTTCCCATGACAACAGACAGAATAACAGACGACAATTAACTGTTCAAATTGGCGACTTATATTCGGGCTGCGTGGCACCTATAAAAAGGGTGTTAATTCGGGAATTCGAGAGATTCAGATCAGACCACAATTCTTCAGAGAGATTCTTCAAGAGTCACTCGTAAGAGAGTTCAAGGTGTGAGCAGGAATTCTTCGTTCGTGATTCGTCACAGCGGAAGAGACAGTCATTGTTTGTGAGCTGTTATAATTGACTGTAATTGTATGAACCCAATCATCAAATCTAAAACCCATTGTTATTAGTCACGCGAACACCTTATACGTGACGGTACTTTCGTTGATTGGAAACGTGGAAGCCCAAAGTGGTGTTGCCTCTTGTGGTGTGAAGTATATACCCACCATGCTGTTTCAGATAATGTGGAGTCATACATGATATTGGATTGACAGACAGACACTTGGCGTATATGAAATCATACGTTTATCTTTCCTTATCTGACAGCAAGAATAAGCTTCCGTGTCTGTAACGGGATCTAACACGGGACCCCTGAATTTACATAAGTAAGTAACGACAATTCCGGCGTCAGAAACCGTCGCCGCTGGGACGAGCATATCGAGGAATGTAACGCTATGTACTGGCTGGTGTTCCTGGTTGTCTTCTCACAGCTGCACTGCACACTCTTCTAATTCCATGCTTACGGTGTGTAACTGAACAGTACGAGTTACTAAGTGGGACTGTCTCAGCACAGTAGTGAGGAAGTTATGAGCTGTCACTTCTACGGACTGCGAGTAATGGTGTGCTTGTAGTTCTAGTGGTGGGGGCTCCTCGTTAGCGCAACAAGCATTCTCTGTACTTGTAACAGAATTATTAAAATTAATGTTAAAATTACAGCTTCTTGTAACATCGTCACATCTCTGAGAGGTGTACGTTAGAAAACATTTTGTACATTAACTTAAACCCAAACCCCAGGCTGCGCTATGGTTGAGGCGGTTAGTCGCTTGCTTCCCATCGCGGCCGCCCGGGTTCGAGTCCGAGTCTGGACAATTAGATTTTCTGGTGGACAAAGTGGCGCTGGAGGTTTTCTCCGAGTATTTCTGTTTCCCCTGCCAAATTTCATTCCACCAAATGTTCCACAATAAACATCATCTACCATCTGGGTCTGGTACAACAGGCCAGTAGTGGCAGCAGCACCAAGTGGACTCAGTCTGACCCCATTAAGAATAAGAAAAAAAAAACGCAGCCCTGCTTTCATGTGGTGCCATCAGTTCAAAGAAACAAAATGAAAGCCACCGAGTGATATTTCACTGAATATCAATGATTTTGATATGCCTACATTTTTTCTGTAAAGTTTGTTGCAACGATTATCTCATTATATAGATATTATTGTGAAAATTGTTCATTGGCTGGGATGTATTTGATATAAAGAAAATTCTGCAAGTTGAATCTTTTCCCGTCTTAAATGGATGGATTTCATTATACAGGATCATTCTTGCATAATGCTCCCTTGTGCGAAAAATATTGAGACGATTTTAATCGAACCTCTTGAATTTTAGGACGGTAAGCTAACCGCTGGACGGTCGAAATTGATCAGTCACGTGAAGGCGGGTGGAAGACTGACCCGCATGGTACTTGTGTACAAAATGTGCCTCAGCTAATGGACAGCATCTGACATATTATTGATAAACCTAGTCGCAACTTTCCAAACTTTTGCCCTGATTTGAAGATTCTTCAGCATTATAAGAAATTTTGTTACAGAAATGAATACATTTTCATTCGTGAGCAGACAGAAACGTACACGTGTCTGCAGTTTGGAATTGGTACATCTATGTTATGATGTGAAATAATTTGAATTGGGAAGCCTTGACACAGCGCAGAAAGATAGCTCACATATGTGCTCTCTTCAAACGTATACGAGAGAACGGGCTTGGAAAGCTGTAGGTGAGAGATTACAAATACCATATTATCTGAACAGGGTCGATCGCGATAGGAAAATTAGGTGCAGAAAACAAAAGACAGATATAGGAAAACATTCCTTTGTAAATAGGACATCAAGCTTTGAAACCAGCTATCTGCAGCTGTTTTAGGGACTCTCTTCTGCATTTCAAGTAATTTTAGGAAAAGTAATAAATAAGGCAAAGTGAAGGTTTGGGGGCAGTCATCAAAATGCAGGAAAGTGAAGTGAAGTGAAGTGAAGGGAAATGTATTTAAGGGAAAGGAATTAAGCTTTGGTGAGGATGTGAAGGGTACGTAAGTGTAGTGAAGTGGAATTAAAGGAAGGCCATGGTGAAATGTGAGTGGATCAGAACATGACATTATGTATTTCATTCCTGTTACTGTTTAGTAGTATACTTATTTTTATTAATATTAATTAAGTTAATTGTAGTTGTAATTGTATTTGAATTGTATTCATTTGTGTGTAGTGTGTCCTTTATTGTTTGTGAAGTTTTGTATCTTGTACTTTGTTTGAGACTGGTGTGTTATTTGTATGATGTGTGCTATTTGTTTGTTGTGTCTTATTGTAGTATCACTGTCACCGGGTAGAAACCCATTTGCAGTTTAAATAAATAAATAATAGTAATAATAATAATAATAATAATGCATATTGTGACGTGTTAAGAGTGACTCTCGACAGGGTTTTGGATTGGATATTGAACTTATTGACCACTTACGAATTGTAACTAGAAGTAACTGTAACAGTCTCACGGAATTAAACACTCCATATATCACTGTTACCACAGCACATAATAGTGTTCTCGGTCTGCTATCAGACGTTTCCTGGTAACGTCTTCCAACAATGCTATTCATCTGCTTCCGGGCTCAAGTCCTCTCTGAACGGCGGCCCCTTCCAACTGCGAATTCTCGACCAACTAATTCTTCTCTTCACAGACTGACAACTGACTCAGCTCTAACGTTGTACCTTGCTTATAACATCTCGGCATGGACCACGTAGAAAGTATTACTCTGTTGCAAACGTATCCGTTACCTCGAGAACGTGTCTACCGAGCCGTTCCCTAACAGCGGACTCCTATTCTTGGTTATTAAGAATCTGCTGCCTAACAACGGACATTGCAAGGCCCTTTGCCTAGAAGCGAATGTTCTTTCGGAGCCTTTCTCTAGCAATGGCACTTTCTCTGGCTCCACAGTTCTTGCTTTGAGCAAATATCCCACAATATTCTTCCAAATTGTAAAGTACAATATGACTTCGTCTTTTAATAATTTTGGCAGAAAAAATAATTTTTTGTCTAACTATTAAGATTCGCATTTTAATTATGCATTGTAATTTTATAGCACTTCTATAAGAGTGCGTTCGGAGCTGAAAAGGATGAAGCTAGTTTTTTGGAATAATTTCTGAGAAAAGCACTCAGTGGAAATTTCATACTGAAATTCACTTTGTGAATTCCAGTGCTGTGCTTGTGTCCTTTACTCCAAGTTTATATTCTGAATATGGATGCCGATTTCAGTTTTTGGGCTACCTCTCCATACGGATACCCGGAAAATTTTCTTCTCGAGGTGTGTGCAGGAAGTTAATTTTCCAGCTCACACAACCCGCCGACTTCCTTTTCCACCTCGATAGCGCGTTACGTTAACGTATTCCAATATGCTGTTGCTTGTCTGCCATCAGGTCACCATTACCACGGCGGTGTGGGAGGAGGGAATAGCGAAGCGGATGGTTGGGGTTCCAAGACTAAGGACACAGCTGCCGCAGCCTTCAACAACGCGTCGCCTCGAAAACCGAACGCCAACGCAATCTTTCCGTCTGGTCCCTTCAAGATGTTCCCACCACAGGATGTCTTCTTGTCTGAGAACTGCACCATCGTGCTGGCGCAGATCGGCAGCACGCCTATACTCCACTGCGAGGTAGCAGACATCGGTGAAGGGACGGTTAGTACGCATAACAACACATTCCTTATGTACTCGTAATCCTTCCACGTGCATCTACCTTTGTCAACCGTCGTATATATATGTAGATTTTACTGTCTATATTCCCGGTAAGAATTATAGGTGACTCAAGAAATTTTAGTACAGAGTACGTAATATTATGTCTTTGAGGTAAATGTACAATACTGATGAGTTAATTGTTTTAATTAATATATTACTTGATTATATACTATTTGTAAAGGTATTACTGCATAATATGAGGTGGGCAGGTCATGTAACACGAATTGGGGAGATGAGGAATTCATATAGGATATTGGTCGGAAAGCCAGAAGGAAAGAGACCACAGGGAAGACCAAGGCGTAGGTGGGTGGACAATATTAGAATGGATCTTAGAGAGATAGGATGGGATGGTACGGATTTAATAGATCTGGCTCAGGATGGGATCCAGTGGAGGGCTCTTGTGAACACGGTAATAAACCTTCGGGTTCCATAAAATGCTGGTAAATTCTTGAGTAGCTGCAGAATTGGCGGCTCCTCCAGAAGGGCTCAGATCCATGAGTAAGTAAGTAAGTAAGTAAGTAAGTAATTACTTTATACTTTTATGTTTAGTGATGGAACTGTGAAGTTTATTTATTTTTTTAGTTTCGTGGGATGAGGTAAGACTGAGTCCACTTTGTACGTTGGCCACTAATTGGCCTATTGTAACAGCTCCGGATGTAGATTATGACCGTGGAGCTGTCAGTGAAAGAAAATATGCAGGAAAACCCGAAGTACTCCGAGAAAAGCTGCCTCAGTGCCACTTTGTCCACCACAAATCCCACATATCTTGACCTGGGCTCGAACCCGAGCCGCAACGGTGGGAAGCAGGCGACTAACCGCCTGAGCTATGGCACCGCCAATTTGGAAGTTACTTAGGATCTGATTAGTGTTAACACACGCTGCTGTATTTCTGACCCCCCAAATTTTCTGTAATAACATGAAATTGTCAGCTGCTTTAGGCGAGGGATTCCTCTAGTATCAGAGGTCAGAACTAAAATCTATCTCTTTACTGTCTATTGGATACTTCAGGATTACAGAAAATACCCTGCACAATTTCTGATTTATTTTTCTTCATAAGTAAATGCCGATAACAATGGCCGCGCCGTATAAAGCATGACAGTCTAAAACATGAAATCTCGTCGCTCGCTCCACCACTGGGGTCATGGGCTCGAATCCACTCAAGGCATGGATGTGCGTAAGTAACTAGGCCTAACGCCTTGCACTTGTTTGACCGAATAATGACCCTAGACAACGGGGGGTCAATATAAATGTGAACAGCAAACTAACTAACTAACTAATGAACTAACTAACTAACTTACATACCGATCCAGCTCACCCACTCATGGAGCTGAACCCTTCTTGAGAAGCCGCCAATTGTGCAGCTACTCAAGAAATTCCCAGCAATTTATGGAACCAAAAGGTTCATAACCGTGTTCACAAGAACTCTCCACTGGTTCCTATCCTGAGCCAGATCAATCCAGTCACAGCTACTCCTTTTCAGTGTGATATGCTGATTCTAGATGTGGACACAATCATTTTACATAATGTCTCAGTTTTATGTAGTCAATTTTTACCGAAGATATCGATTTCTTCCAATTTTGAATATTTTTACTAATGTTCTTGTCGAGCATGGTGTGAACATGTATTCTTTCTTTATCAGATTAAGGCTAATCGTCATTTGAACAACGTCAGTATAGAAAATTGAACCTAAAGTTGTACGAAATTTTACATATCTTCCACGAAAAACTACGAGTGATGCTTCATTTTGACCGTATCTTTTGTTATTTGCATATCTAATTAGAAACACCTTATTTCGTGCATGCTACCGGAAGACGCCAAAATTTTCTGTGCTGTATATCAATCTAAGAGGAATTAAATAATATAGTCTTGAAGTGAAATACATTATGAAGACTTTCATGAATTGTACTGCTCTCCAAATATAATTAGAATAATCAAGTTAATAATATCTATGGACAGAGCATGTAGCAAGCACGGAAAAGAAGACTGAACACAGAATCTTGGGGATACCAGGAAAATTGGGACCACAAGGAAGGCCTAGGCTTAAATGGGATGATAATAATAAACGAACCTTGGAGAAGCAGGATACGGAGACTCAGGCTAAATTTATCCGCTCTAGTACAGAGACAGTGGCGGGTTATTGTTAACATGGTAATGAACCTTCGGGTTGCAGATAATATTGGAAATTCTTGAGTAGCTGAGCGACTGCCGTCTTCTCAAGAATTACTATGCTCCATGGAGATAGTACAGCTGTATAGTTTTGCATGAAGATCCTTGCTCTTATTTATTTCCAAGGAAGATTGTCCTCGACAATGGATTCTACAACGAGTAAGATCAATCCAGTTCCATACCCTCGAACTGTTTCTCTGAAATTGATTTGAAATTACCTTGATAAGTATGCCTAGATCTCTCAGGTGGTATTTAACTTCAAGCTTCCAATCACGTTGTTCTACAATATCCGGCTAGTTTATATTTTTCTACATGGTCAACCCATCTTGCCCTTCTTTATTTAATCACCGTTACAATAATTACTAAGTTGTAGAAATTGTAAATCTTATAAATTTACATATTTTCAAGGCCTTTGTTACTTTATCCTGTATAGGCACTAATATCCTCCTGAGCAGGTCTATACCCCGAATCACTGTGATTAGATTTAAACAGTATTTTGTCTCAGTAGGTGAACACCAAGGCTAGGAAGATAGTAAAAAGTACTAAAGATTTAATTTGAAAATATGCATAATCCATGACAGTACACCAAGCCACTCCTGGCTATATGATTCTTGATGCATAAAGTTACATATAAATTAATTTAGGGAAATTAATGTAAACATAATATATATATAGGTGATATGTATTATGTAGATTTGCCGTTAAGTTTAACAGTTAAGTCGATCTGTTATTTTAAAACGGAACAGTAATTTGTAGGGTATGTGGACTTAATTTATGTGTATCTGGCGATTATCGGATGAAGTAGACAGGTGTTCATATCAGCTTATGTAATAAGAAAATAAGAGCAGAATCATGCGTCTGTTGCGTGTTATGTGTTTGTAGCATCTACTCGTATATAAACTCACAAGCGCAATTTATTAGTTCAATATTAACAATTTTATGCACGCTTCTTTTGGTTAGTACAGCCCCTGTGGTATTAAATTAGATTTTTATTTTCGCTTTTCTCTATCCCACACGTAATTTAGTACAGGTCCATAACACCATATTGCTAAAGCATTCTTTTCAACAAATCGAAAGGAATTCGTAAGTTACATTTTTGCTAATTCACTACTGTATTTTCTTCTTTAACGACATAAATTTCCTTCCTGAAAACGCCAGGTCAGATAAAGATATCACTTACCTTTGAGCGATATGGAAGGCTGAGTTGCATAACCTGTAGCGAGCTGAAAGGAAGGGTAAGAGCAAGTACCATTCTTGGCTCAGCTGGCATGGTTGATGAAAACCGCGCAATAAAAATGAGGTCGAAATCCAACAAGAGGTCTCAAGAATATAATTCAGGAACTTTAGCATTAAACAAGCTCATCTGTTGCCATGGTGCCAATGGAACTAGAGCAGGCACGAACAGGAGATTGTACATGAATAGTTTGTTCACACTGAGCTGATAGCTGTAACAAACTTGGACCACAACTTATCAAAGCTGATTACCAATCAGTAACCAGATAACACTAAAATATTTAAACTGGACCATTCCATGTGCACTTTCATACTTTAGTGATTTCTCGACTGTTCAATTTTCTGCGAAAAAAAACAGAAGTATCCCGTTGATCGGGCATATGGAAGTCTGCCTGTCTAATGGACAGAAGAGAGGCGCTGTTATCCGTACCTTCCATCTGTATGTTTACGTTCATTTCGGCAACAGCGTGAGCAATGTGTAGTAGTGTTTAAGTGAGGTACATGTCATCCCAGGAACACTGGAAAATTGGAGGTGCGTTCCACGGTTCCTCATGCACCGACAACGTCCTCATTTGAGTGTGGAAGCTCCAGTTTGTAACTGAGGTACGGTGCAGGTGCATTGTGGAGTGAATTACTCTTTCAGGGAGTATGTCCAATTTTCTTGTGTTTCTTCATCGTATATTTTTCTGTTGGTTCATAGTTTGACAAATGCTGCAGCCAAGTGTTCCCAATGTACCTGAAGTGCCATTGTACTGAGTTTACGCACGTGCTCCGATCCATTACGCTTGACAGTTCTGAATAATGCTGACAGACACCTTGGTGGTCAATTCAGTCTCTGGGAACACAGCTGTGATGCCGTGTGTCTGTCGCCACATCATAACACAAACAGGCGTTTAAATCCTGTTCTACACGATCGTGTCGATGTTGGAAAGAGAAGACTGGGATCATGAGGTCTATACAGGAAAATAAGCAACATCGCAGAATGGTTAAAAGAAGAATTGGCAGAAAGAGAAGACTGGGGAGTAAGACAAGAAGTAGCGCAAGAAGCGAATAACGCGAATGGAGACGCAAGGGAAATAGAAGAGAATGAAATATATCTGGGAAATAAGGAAGGGAGAAGAGAAACACGTGATTACCATTTTCACTTTGGTTTTTGTCAATGACTGTAGTCCTCATAATTTTAGTAGTAGAAGTAGTAGAAAAAGTAGGAGGAGGAAAATGTCACCTAGAACGAAAAGGATAAATCTGGAGAACATGAAGAATGATGATAATGAAACGAAGAATTGAAGCAAGCAAGCAAACAAGAAGAATATGAGAGAAGGAGAATATGGAAAATGAATAAGAAAAAGAGGAAGACTATTCTAATGACGGAATTTCCTAAACCGTTTATTTGTTTTCACAAATATCTCCATGTCACACGCATGTGATGGCCGCACGTTCTCTAGGAATGGTGTCCCAAAGTGGGTGTACGTAACCTGAGACGAAAATTATCTTGTTCATATATCTACCAGCTTCAAAGATCTTCAGTGTGTATAGGTTTGTCA